TTCTGTGGTTACTTTTTGCTTTGTTCTGGGTGGAGTAAGGAGGCACACATAAGACCACAGGGTGCCTCACTGTGGTCTCCTATGTACTTACCAAATTCCATCGGAGATTGTGTGCCTCACGTTCTCATTTTTTCTATCAAAGCCCGAATGATCTGAACACGATTTCACTTTAAAGGCCATCATTTTCGGCCCACTGAGTTACACTGAGACCCAACACGTACTCATGGCAGTCTGGCCTCGCCGACTGCACAGGAAGGGGGCCAAAGGTCATGGGCACACTTGTCCCAGCTCTCCCAACTGCATTTCCTGTTGAGGCAGATGCACCGCACAGCCCAGTAATGTACTTTACCTCTTGAGCACAAGATACAAAATTAAGACTGGGATCTGACACAGTACAGAGAGCTCTCACCAGAGGAAGGGCTACCACGATGTTGGCTGCCAGCCTGCTGCGGGCAGCCATCGCCTCTGGCTGTCTTGGTAAGGACGTCCACAGCACAGGACTCAGACTCTCCTGGGCCTGAAGGTCACGGGAGAGCAAACTGCGGGCTGAGGAAGCTGCACAGAGGAAGAGAGAGCAGGCAATAGAACCAGAGTGCTGGGATCGAACCCATTCTGTGCCTTATCCTTCGTGGTTATAGATTAAGGATCACTTTCTTCCTACCCTTTTTCCACAGAAACCAGCATGGCCTAGAAGGTTTCTCAAACTCAGACTGCTGTTTCAGCACTGGAGCAGGAGGCTGTGACCATGGACTGTGTGTCTGAGACCCGTGATCCTGCTTATTACTTATTCTGGTACAAACAGCCATCACATGGGGAAATGATTATCCTCACTCGTCAGGACTCTTTACAGTGAGCACAGTGTGACCGCTGTTCTCTGAGCCTCCAGAAGGCGGCCAAGTCTGTCAGCCTCACCATCATGGCCGCCCAGCTTATCAGCTCAGCAGGGATCTTCTGTGCTCTGACAGGGGCCTGCAGGAGCCTTACAGGAGCCTCAGCAGACACACAGCCCAGGAAGAGCCTGCACCGCAGACAGGGAGGGCACAGGCGTCGTGACTGCATTCTAAGCCGTACATTTGCAGCAGTTAAACAGTTAAAGTTCATTTATTGGGATAAATATTTTCCATCAGAAAATTATTCTTTGGTTTAACTTATTTCAGTCAAGTGAATTCAGTGTCTCTTCATTCCCCCTCAGAGCCTGTGTAGGATAATGTGATCTCTGTCTGGAGTTATAAGACCTTATGCTTCGGCAATGCTTCTCTATGCATGAACTGCCTGTTTTCTTATTCCCACAATACACTTGTTATGGTTCCCCTTAACTAGTTAACAACTGGCTTGAGGAAAACACAGAAGAGGATAAAGCTCATTCCTGGACTCGCTGGCTGGGTGTAGCTTTGGGTGCCATAGCTGGTCCCTAGCCTAGGTGCCACTATTCCTGTGCCTTCCTTCCTAGCCACCGCGAGCTGGAGGCTTTCCTCCTCTTCATTCAGCCACCTTACGAGCTGATGAGCTTGCTGATCATAAGACTAATTAGACTTCTCCACATTTATATTTGGGGTGTCTGCAACTGTCCCAGTGATGGGAAGGCTAATAAGGAAATTTGGTACCAGAGAAGTGGAGCCATTGTGATGACTGTCCATGACCTTTTGGGTTAGAAGCTTTGAGAAGTGCTTCATGGAGGAGACTGGAAAATGTTGTAGATTCAGGCTAGAGAAACCTAAAATGCCATAAGCACAGCCTGATGGGTGATTCTAGATGGTTCTCAGAAGATAATAATGTTGATGTTAGGGGCTGCACACTCTGGGCTGGGTGCAAGAGGTTTCAGGTGGGAACAAGGGCTTCATTGGCAACTAGAACAACAGTCTTGCAAAAAATTACATCTACATTTTGGATAGAAATGTTACTCTTGTCATTTTTTTTTATTGTATTTGATACAGGGTCTTACTTCACAGCTCGAACTTGTAGCGATCCTCCTGCTTTCAGCCTCCCCAGCAGTGGGACTACAGGCATGCACCACCACGCCTGGTCTCTGTGGCAAGCTCAGCCTGCCTCGGTGTGGGGCCAGCATGGCATGTGGTGCCAGGGATTGAATCCCAGCCCCTATTCTTGCCTAAGCACGTGCTTAGTCCACTGAGCTATCTTGCTGGCCCTTCTATATTTTAATTATGTTAATTTTTTCACTATTACAAAACTTCCTAGCTAAAGGTCTCAGAAGGCAATAATTTTGGTTTCTGAAAAATACGGTAGCTGCTGGAACTTTGGGAAAGTAATTATTGTGCTTTTTGATGATATGTTGTTGTCTATTAGATGGAAACATGGACTCGCTATTGTCTTTATTTAGATACTAACTGCTGGTTTAAGATGTGTTCAGATGTCAAGATGGCAATGGCTGGATTATGGGGGAGTGAATCCTAACTGTGCTTCAGAAACACCCAGGGGATTGGTAAAGCACAGTTCTGGGTGTCTCTGGCTGCCTCATGGACTCACGACTTTGGAAGCTGTGTGGTCCCTGAGTCCTTCCACTCTGGCATCCCCCTTGTTCTGCTTCCCTCCAAAGAGAAAATACTTGTTTCAGTGAAAACAATGGCATGACAAAAAGCAAATGGAGAGCTTTTCCAGGATCATGCTGACTGAGGACAGTCATCTGTCTGTCACTACGCTGATGGGGCACGTCCGCTGTCAGTCACGTGTGGTGTGCAGTCTCCCAGGGAGAGCTTTGCATGGTACCTGGCGTCTCAGAACTGCACAATGTCAACAAAGTAGTGTTCATTTAGTGCAGGATCATGCTCCACAGCTGATACGCAAGGTTTTGAGCATCCACACAATGTGTGACGACAGCATATTTCCGACAGCTAATGTGATTTCTCTATAATGTACCCCACATAAATAAAAACTCTCAGAGCGCTTTGGGACTGCGCCTGTGAGAGTGTAAGGGATGTGAGACCTGTGGGCTGAGAACAGACAGCTCACGGAATCCATACTGAGCATCATGCAGTGACTTTGAATGTTTTAGCTCTACATGCACAGGAGGGGATGTGCTCCATTACCCCTCACCCTGCGCTATTGCTACCATGTGTCTTAATTCTGCCTCTGTTAGGAAATCCACTAGTGCACCTTGACAGAGTTTTCTTTAACCAATTTTAAGGTTTTTCCCCTTTGGCCCCTTAGTGCTGTGTTCTGATGTGCGCTGTTCCTGATGAGAAGTCGGCTGTCATTGTCAGCTATGAGTCCCTGTGTGTCACTGCTCTGTCCTGTCTTCTTTCGCCACCCCAAGTGCTGCTGAGACTTCTGAGGAAGGATTAGTGCTGTGATGTCAGTAGGTCTGAAACTCGCACTGCGCCTTGCTCCTCCACGTGCAGTGATGGGCGCTGCGCCCCTAGACCTGCAGAGGCCACCGCGGCACTGTGCATGGGCGGGGTTAATATTCCACTTAGAAGGCTGAATTAGCTCTCCCCATACCAGATTGCTGTCCTGGACTCTCTATGAAATGAATTGGGTTTCATGCAACTGAAATAAATAAGCATGAGTGGACTGTTACAGAGAAAATTTTTCTTTCTCAAAATATTCTCTTGCTTCCTCTTTTTGTTTGTTTGTTTTTAGGGTTTGGGTTTTTTTTGTTTTTTTTTGTTTTTCTTTTTTGGTGGTACCAGAATCAAACTCGGGACCTTGTGCTTGCTAAGAAAGCACTTATTCCACCGAGCTGTGAGCTATCTCCCTGGCCTACAGACTCTGCTTTGAATACAATTTCCCTTATGAGGAGAAACACTGACTGGCACTAGGGATAGATAACTCGGGTTATGGACCAGCCACAGGAGACAGAACTTTCTATGCAGATGGACCCTTTTTATCCACAGATACCTCAATAGCGCACAAGGAAAAAGCCTCACATTGGTCTACATGAAAATTGTGGGGCCGGCCTGATAGTTCAGCAGATGAAAGCGCCTGCTTAGGTAAGCTTAGGCAAACACAGCAACCATGGTTTGATCGCTGGAACTAAATGCTGCGCCATCCCTGCCCCCAGGATGGGCCGAACAGGCCACAAAAAAAAAAAAGAAAGAAAGACAGACAGACAGGCAGACAGAAAAATAAAGTTGTGTCAGGAAGTATTTGGGAAGTGAGAGATCTCTACATGGAGAAAATGCTATAAATGATTATTGAATACTATCCTAATTACACTGGTGAACTGTAACTAAGAACTGAAACTGTTTAATGCTTCCTTCGTGGCGCTCCATTTCCTGCTCCTTCTCTGCTGTCCACTCAAGCTGTTTTACAGTAGTCCCCATTGCCAATTATTTTTCTCTCCATGGTTTCAGCTACATGTGTTAAACTTCATCTGAACACATTACATGAAAACAGCCCAGAGATGAAGAATCTGTGTTCCATGTTCCAGGCCTTCCTGGGCACTATGGTGACAGTGTCCAAACCCTCTCTCCTCCCAGGAGGATTCGCTCAGCAGAGCTGGCTGCACAACCACTCTTCATTCCTTAATCTTTCTTTTGTAGTCCTTAGTCCTAGTTTTGTAGCCTCCCCCGGACTGGACAAGTTACAACTGCGGTGCACAAGTGCTTAGCTAAAAAGGAAAAGGCCCTGTTGTGGGTGGAAGACTTGAACACACAGCTTGTGCAACAGTCGGTGGCAGTGTGGTACACCACAAAGCACTGTGCCTACCTTATGAACAAGGCTTATCTTAGGACTGTGTGTATAAGACAAGACACAGTACACATAGAGGCAAGTGCTCTCTTCATTTCAGGCACCTAGATGGGGCTTATCAGGATTTCTTGTGACAAGGCTTAGAGCAACATTCAAGGAAACCACCAGTGGGTGCCACTTTCTCACCCGTGATTCACTTTGCAGGTGTTTGGGGCGTCTCCAGACTTTGTAATCACAAGTTAGACTACCACAAGAGGCTAGTGCCTCCACCTGCAGTGTTTCTAGAAGATCCCGCTGGAACTGAGAATATAAGTTGTGTGTAATGCAAGTGGTGTGAGCTATTTCCTGCCAACATGCTTCCTGTCACCTGCCAGGTGCTTCTGATTCTCTTGGTGCTCAGTAAGTCTTATTTTATCTTTAGGATTAACGTTTTTATTTCCCCCCGATTATGATAATCTTTGGATTCTTCTGAATATAAACAAATATATTGGTGTTGTTCTTGTTCCCTTTCTCTTTCACCTCCTCCTCCTCCTTCTCCTCTTCTTCCTCCTTCTCTTTTTCTCTTAGTAGAGAGAAACCGCGGATACTCAGTGACCCAGACAGAAGGCCCGGTTGCTCTCACAGAGCGAGACCTTCTGACCCTGAACTGCACGTATCAGACGATTTATTCAAGACCTGTATTGACCTGGTATGTCCAGTACATGGACAAAGCTCCTCAGTTCCTCCTGAGGAACGCAAAAGAAAACCAGCGGACTGAGAGCCGAGGATTTCAGGCCTCCTTTGGCAAGAGCCACAGCTCCTTCCACCTGAAGAAACCCTCACTCCAGCTCTCAGACTCTGCCGTGTACTACTGCGCCCTGGGGACACCGTAACACGAGCTGCAGGGGGAGCTGAGCACAAACCCAGAGGGTGCCGGAGGCGGAGGGGAGCAGCCCTGCCCACAGAGAGCTGCGTCCTGCTCTACTAGGCAGTGCTCTGTGGGTTCCACAGCAAGCTAAGCCATTCGCAGGCTGTTTCTAGAAAAGGTGCAGGTCCTGGGTTACTCTGGGTTACAATGGCATGAACCACAGATTGACGGGATCCCAGGGTTCCATCACCAGAAGTCCCAGTGTTCAGCCAGGAAGGCTTCTCTTTCCTTCAGACTTGAAAATCTCTCACAGCAAAACTTTACAGGAATGCCTTGGCACAGGGTCAATTTCTGCAGAGTTGACTTCCGTGTTTTGCATGTGAAATCTCCAGGGCTTGTGTTTCTCACGCAAACACTTATGAACCATTAAGGGGACCCAAAATCAGTCTTAATTATTCTACTTTAGTCTCTACAGCTAAGTTAGACTCTGCCTTTCCTTAGGCTCTGCCTGAAAATATTCAACCCAACTCCTCACCAACCTACAGCATGGTGAAGCTGCTCAGGGGGCGTGGTTGTGGGCGGACCCTCAGCGCAAGGCGGGGCAGCACCCTCCTGGGTCCTCACTGTTCCAGCGGTGGAAGGGCCTTGAGGAAAGCCTGCATCGCGGAGCTCTCCCTCTTCGTGTCCAGGTTCCTCTGTCATCACCCTGACCTTGAAGGGACAAGTGCCCGGGGTTCAGCTTCAGGTTTCAGGAGGATCCATCTGAAATAGAAGAAAGAACACCAGGGATTTTTAAAATCTCAGCTCTCTTAATTTTAAATGTTGGTTTAGAATAAAATACTCAATCCTCTTAGACATTTCTCTGTAAGGCAAGAAATTTCTGAATTAAGAGGAGGATGCCTCTCACAAGATACACTCATTTTTGTCTGTATTTACATAAAAGCAGGAAAGATACATACTGTCTTTGCTTCTGGCCAGGGAGTGAAGTGCAAAATCTAACCCTGTTTTGAAACTCCAAAATTAACTACAATAGCCCCATATAGAATATCAGGGATCTCCTACCTGAAAGCTGAGCAAACTGTCGACTACAGAAAACACCCCAAGTGCTAACAAACACTAGAGTTTTTCTTTGATTCCTTTCATTAACTTTATAAATTCAGTTGCGCTATGGGTTGAGGATTTCACGTACCCTGGAGCAAAGGAAGCAGAGACCCCCACCCCCACCCCCACCTTAGCGCCCTCTGCTGGTCTTCCGTTTGTCCTTTTGCCCAAATCCATGCTTCCTTCCTCGTGATCCAACTCCACAGTGTAGTAACCTTGTGAAGTGAGATAGCCAGCTTCTTGTTGGCATCTTACTTGAGCTAGCCTGTTAGATGCCGGCAAGAGATCTTTGGGTGAGAGAGAGAGCCTGAATCCTTCTTTGCTCCTCGCCTGTTGAAATGCAATGGTGTAGACCGCATCCCTCTGTCACTACAGATCCAGCAGCTGTTGCCCATGAGACTCTCCTTACGCCTTGCTCCTCCAGATTGAGGGTCCTCAGGACCCTCCAGGATCAGCAGGCAGTGGGGGACACCTCGGCATCCTTCGCTGGCTCCTCACCCCATTCCCACCACTTCTGCTCTGGCCTTCTTTGGATTCTCTTCACCTCTGGCTGAGCGTGCTCTCTGTTTTCTCATCCGCACATGAGTGGTACAGGGGAGAGTCACTGCTTGCTCCTGCTCACCTGTGGGCCTCTCAACGGTCCTTGCTGGT